ACAGTGGCCACTTCATGGTCTCGGAACCCCACGCCGAGTCGGACCCCGATCCAGATCTCGGTTCCGAAGAGGCCATCAGCTCGGCCGAGCGAGCCGGTCGTTTAGGCCTGCAAAGCTGCGCGGCCGAGCGAGGCAGGGGACCCGGGGCGTTAGGGGGGAAGGCTGCGGCGGGGAAAGCCGAAGGTGCGGCCCAGCCTGGTTTTAGGGCTCCCTACGACTTCGACACGGTGAACGAAGGCACCTGTCAGATCTACCGCTACGGGCCGCGCAGCAGCGGCGCGCTCAATATCGACGCCTCCCTCACCAAGCTCTTCGAATGCATGACCCTGGCCTACAGGTGAGGAGGGCCCGGTGAGCGAAGGACGAAGGGAGGCGGGCCCCGCTTTGTGGTTCCTGGCTATAAAAGACACGCAGGAGGGAAAGTGTCAAGAAGACTGGCCCAACGAATGTGGATTGCTGCAGAGCTTCCGAAATCAAGATCTGAATCTTCAAGAGCTTTTGAAGTTGTATTTGACAACATGCCTTCCTTCCAAATTGCCTTAGACCAGTGTTTCTCAACCTTGACAATTTTAAGGTATGTGGACTTCAACTCCCAGAATTCCACAGCCAGCAACGCTGGCTGTGGAATTCTGGGAGTTGAAGTCCACATGCCTTAAAATTGTCAAAGTTGAGAAACACTGCCTTAGACCACTAGACGCTGTACCCTAATTAACAATGGGGCTGGCCATGTTAAGTTAAAACCCTGGACTCAAATGAGACTTTTTCATTGTTTCTTCCTCATACTAGAACCTGCGCACAAATAGGGAGGCTCGAAGTCTCTGTTAATATCCTATAAATGAGCGTAGAGTGCTTCAGAACAAAGCACAGACATTTCACAAGTAGAAATAAAGGCTCTTAGAAGCAATTTTAAGAGTTAGAGCAAAAGTGCGACCTGTTCTGGATTGCTTCAAAAATCATGAGAGGTAGAAAAGTGATTTTCTAACGTGCCATTTGAATTAAACTTCAGGGCCAAAAGTATATGTTTAAATGAAGAAACTTGTTTATCAATCGGTAGCTTTGTTGTAAGCTTGATTTGTTATGTGCCTGAGCTTGCTGGATAAAACTGGTAATATGTGCCTATATATCCAGTTGATAAAGTATCTTTTATAATTGCCCTTTGTAACAGAGTATTATTCATGATTAATCTGCCAGCTGAGCTTTAGACTGGCGTTCTCCATTCTTAGATTAGACTTCGTCCAAAGAATTGTTGGGGAACAAAGGAGAAAAGGGATTCTGAATGCTTTGGCACAAGGCTTCTATTATGCATTCATTTTTGTCTCTTTCGTAATGCTTTATGAAGAAAGGAGAGGTAATAGCATCTCCCACTTTTAAATCTCCTCTGTCTCCCTGATATTTCATACTTTTCTTGCTACCCCAAAAATGTTGAAAAACAAAAATACACTTCTGTTAGTATCACATATCTTTTGATTACCAATTTTAGACCTTTGGCTAGAAGCATCTATAAACTCAATTTGGAAATACTCAAGACAGCAATCTGTCCTTTGATTTCGGAACAGTTATTCAGTAAATGCCAGACTTAAAAGTGGTTTTGGTCAGGGTACGTTGCACTGGGCACATGAATCTTCACATTGCTTGTTTATGTTCAATCACATGACTTTCATAAAGATAGGATATCAAGTTGTGTTGCTCTTGATCAATAGTATTCAGACCATTAGCTTCATTTTCAGTTCTTGAGGGAAAATTGACCTTTAATTACTTCCAGCAATATTTTTTTTTGAGTGGCACAATTATATTAGTGAGATTAAATAGTTAGAATGTAATCTACAGTATGCAACTGCTAAAACGTTTTCAACATATTATTCTTTTAAAATTTATTTCTATTGGAAATAAATACTTTTTTTCATTTGGAAATATTGATGACACATCACAAATCATTCTGTTGTGTGTGTTTTTGAATGTCCTCATAGTATATATATATATTTGGCTAGAAATACTTATCCATTACTCACTACGTTACACCTGGAATTCTACAATAGCAGTTAGCTAAGATAAGATAGAGGTAAACACATATACAAATTATTATATTAGCAATATGGTATTTTACAGAGTGGCTAAAATGTATTATGCATTTTGCTTTAAAAAAGTGTATGATATATTGTTGTTTTAAGATTAATTCAATAGTCACAAAGTTGATCTTGAGACCAGCATAGTTACTTACAGTTAATTGTCTCTGGATATTTTCTGCATGAATTAATCTGCTGTTGTGCGCCTGTTCATCCATCTCCTTAAGTTTGCCCTAAAATCTAATGGGGAAGGGAAACCAGAGATCAGATACTAGGTTTCAAAGAAACCTTGCACATTAGCCAGTCTTTGAAAAAGATAAATAATTGCATTTATTTTATTACTCTATTTTGAATTCTTTTATTTTCTCCTTTTATTGGCACAATATAAGAATATTTGTATCTATATTGTCAAGTCTTTGAGCTAGTATTCCTGTTCATTTTTCTTTCTTGATCATTTTTGGCTTGACTTATTTAGTGTTTCCTTAATCCAGACATACCAGATGTTACCGAAGTTTCATTGGATTCTTTTTTATTTTTAGTGGAAAAATTGTATCTCCCAAATGGAAAACCTTCAAGGGGCTGAAATTGCTGCAGCGTGACAAGATTCGGCTCAATAATGCTATTTGGAGGGCATGGTATCTACAGTGTGAGTACTGGAACAGGGTAAATTCAGAAGTTTATTCCCAAGGCATCTTCTTTCCGTAAGGAGTCTTATGTTCTTGATGAATTCTGTAGCGAAAGACTATTTTCTGTGCACTATTATGAACTGCAAGTAATAGCATGTACTTCTGAACATCACATAGTCTGTTCTGTCTGGTTGTAAAGCCCATGAACATTGTCTTCCTGTTTGTGAATGTACAATTTGTGGTAGCTTTCAGTCAGTCAGTCAGTCAAAAAATACATGTGTCTGCCTCTGAAGTGGCAATTGCATTCAGAGTTCTGTTTCTGTTTCATTTTGTACACAGATGTGGAGAAGAGGCAGAATCCTGTGTGCAGTTTTGTGACTCCCCTAGAGTGTAGTGACATAGATCAGCATCGCAAGCCTGAAGTGAGTAAGGCGTTTATGGCACTATTATTATTAGTAGTAGTAGTATTATTAGTATTATTAGTATTATTAGTATTATTAGTATTACTACTACTACTACTACTATCATCATCATCATCATCATCATCATCATCATCAGTACAATGATGATTTTACCTAGTTTGGTAAAGGAACATCTGCAAGAAAATCACCAACCTCAGAGAGCAATATGGACCCTACACTCCAACACTGAACTATAAATATTCTGTTCCATAAATACCAGATTCTATTTCTTTACTTTTATTTTTATTTAACTTCTATATCTTTATTTATTTGTTAGGCTGTCATCATGGAAGGAAAGTATTGGAAACGCCAGGTTGGGGTTGTTATTAGGGAATATCATAAATGGAGGACATTCTTCCATATTCGGGTAAGTTTCTTCTCAAGCAAGTAAAGCCTTTTGGATAACACATAATATTAGTGTGATAAAATAGAGGGAATATAGTACTATATTGAAATCTTCCATCTCCAGATGATATTCTTTATCTTGCTGTCCTCTGTGTTGTTGCTGTGGCAGACAAGAATCTAATTCTATCCTAAAACAATTTAACCCTCTGTACAAGATTTAAAACATGATGAGGACAAAAGGGCTCTATGCAAGTGCCTCTACAGAATTTCTGCACGTTTTCACAAACATTTATAGGCATTTTGTATAGTGTTGTTTGGCTAGAATTTTTAGTAGCCTTTCATAACTGAGAAATTTTGTTATTGCAGTTCCCAATCATGGGACCTAGTATTAGATTTACCAGATGATTATCCTTTTTGTTTTTATATTTATTTATGTTTCATATTTCTAAACTATCCATCTTCCTCAGAGAGGGGCTCTTTTATCTTTTATCTGAGTCTGTCAGGTACCTGAGACCAAAGACTTTTTCTCCACCTGAAGTAATTCATACTTTTGACTTTTTGCCATTTGAATAAGATATACAATAATCATTAATATTTACGGTTGCTTATAAGGTTCTCTAATGCTTTGTGTTTC